TAATTTATTTCTAGTTTCATACCTTTGTGGTCTGAGAAGCTGGTTGGTACAATTTCAATCTTTTTGAATTTACCAAGGCTCTTTTTCTGGCCTAATATATGATCTTTTCTTGAAAATGTTCCATGTGTGCTTGAGAAGAATGTGTATCCTGCTGCTTTTGGGTGTACAGTTTTGTAGATGTCTGTTAGGTCCATCTGTTCTAATGTGTTGTTCAGTACTTCTGTCTTCTTACTTATTTTCTGTCTGGTGGATCTGTCCTTTGGAGTGAGTGAAGTGTTGAAGTCTCCTAGAATAAATGAATTGCATTTTATTTCCCCTTTTAATTCTGTTAGTATTTGTTTCACATACATTGGTGCTCCTGTGTTGGTTGCATAGATATTTATAATGGTTATATCTACTTGTTGGATTGACCACTTTATCATTATGTAATGTCCGTCTTTGTCTCTTGTGATTTTCTATGTTTTGAAGTCTATTTTGTCTGATACAAGTACTGCAAATGCCTGCTTTTTTCTCTCTATTAGTTGAATGAAATATCTTTTCCCATCCCTTCACTATTAGTCTGTTTATGTCTGGGTTTGAAGTGAGTCTCTTGCAGGCAGCATATAGACAGGTCTTGTTTTTTTATCCATTCAGTGACTCTATGTCTTTTGATTGGTGCATTCAGATAATTTACATTTAGGGTGATAATCAGTAGGTATGTACTTATTGCCATTGCAGGCTTTAGATTCGTGGTTACCAAAGGTTCAAGGGTAACTTCCTTACTATCTAAGAGTCTAACTTTAACTCACTTAGTATACTATTACAAACACAATCTTAGAGTCTAACTTAACTCAGTCAGTATGCTATTACAAACACAATCTAAAGGTTCTTTTTTTTTCTCCTCCATTCTTTATATATTAGGTATCATATTCTGTTCTCTTTGTCTGTTCCTTGATTGACTTTGGGTGTAGTTGATTTAATTTTGCATTTGTTTAGTAATTAACTCTTCTACTTTCTTTACTGTGGTTTTATTACCTCTGGTGACAGTTACTTAGCCTAAGGAACACTTCCATCTATAGCCATCCCTCAAAATACACTGTAGAGATGGTTTGCGGGAGGTAAATTCTCTCAGCTTTTGCTTATCTGGAAATTGTTTAATCCCTCCTTCAAATTTAAATGATAATCTTTCCAGATAGAGTATTCTTGGTTTGAGGCTCTTCTGCTTCATTGAATTAAATATATCATGCCACTCCCTTCTGGCCTGTAAGGTTTCTGCTGAGCAGTCTGATGATAGCCTGATGGGTTTTCCTTTGTATGTGATCTTATTTCTCTCTCTGGCTGCTTTTAAAAGTCTGTCTTTATCCTCAATCTTTGCCATTTTAATTATTATATGTCTTGGTGTTGTCTTCCTTGGGTCTCTTGTGTTGGGAGATCTGTGGATCTCCATGGCCAGAGAGACTATCTCCTTCCCCAGATGGGGAATTTTTCAGTAATTACCTCCTCAAAGACACTTTCTATCCCTTTTTCTCTCTCTTCTTCTTCTGGTACCACTATAATATGGATATTGTTACTTTTAGATTGGTCACACAGTTCTCTCAATATTCTTTCATTCCTAGAGATCATTTTCTCTCTCTCTACCTCAGATACTTTGTATTCCTCTTCTCTAATTTCTGTTTTATTTATGGTCTCCTCCACTGTACCTAATCTGCTTTTAAAACCCTCCATTAAGTTCCTTAACAATTGGATTACCACCCTAAATTCATTCCTGAGTTCTTGAATATTTTTCTGTACCTCAAGGGGCATGTTTATTATTTTTATTTTGAAATCTCTTTCAGGAAGATTGATTAGTTCAGTCTCACTTGATCCTTTTTCTGGTGTTTGTGGTATTTTATTTTGAACCAGGTTCATACCGTTTCTTATCCTCCTGTGGGTGAGCTGGGATGGGGAAGGGCTTGGATCCTTTGATGTTTCATATTTGTATATGGCACCCTCTAGTGCCCAGAAACTCTACTCTCTGGAGCTACTCAGCCCCTGGAGCAATGTCGGGGGTTGCAGGGGAGTGGTGTTGGTGCCTGAGGGGAGGAGAGAGCTGTTTCCTGCCTCCTGGCTGCTATGCCTGTCTCCACTGCCTGAACCAGTAGGCCAAACATACAGATGTAAGCCTCTATGCTTTGTGTTTGTAGCTGCTGTAGTTGGCTTCCCTCTGACTGGCCTGACACCAGAGCAGGAGTTGCCAACTTGCAAGCCAGGTGCAAGCTGTCTGGGAGGAAGGTGCAGCAGGCTGCGTATCATGGTGGGGGGCCTTGGAGCTGCCTAGTTAGCCAGGGGGATGGAGCACCTAAAGCTCCTGAAAGTTCCCAAACCTCTGGGCAGACTGCACCCAGACAATTTTGTCTACCTGTCCTTTCTCCTGAGCAGTAAGCTCTGTGCAATCCTTGCCCCTTTAGCAGCCCTCTCACTGATAGGAAGTCTCTCAGACTCCCTGCCCAGAGCAGCTGGATGTGGATCCCTGTTTTCCACAAGCAGCTGGAATCTCACTCTCTCCAGGTATTCTGCCTGTCTTAGCTTTCCAACCCCACTAATCACAAGAGCACCATGCAATGTAGGTTCTTGCTCCCAGAGCAGATCTCCAGGGCTGGGTGTTTAGCAGTCCCAGGCCTCCACTCCCTCACCATTTCATTTCCCTTCCTCCTGCAAGTGTCCTGGGGTGGTGGAAGGGCTTGGATCCTGCCACGTCACGGCTTTGGTACGTGATCCTGTTCCATGAGGTCTGCTCTTTTCTCCAGGTATATGCAGTCTGGCACAGCCCTCTTTCCTGTTGCTTTTTCAGGATTAGTTGTATTAATTATATTTTCATATTATGTGTGATTTTAGGAGGAGGTCTCTGCCTAACCTCTCATGCCACCATCTTTAATTCCTCTCCAGGGTAGTACCTTTATGTTTCATTCATATGTGGGTCTTGGATCCTCAGACCAAATAAACTAAAAATTTGATCTTCTACCAGGCTTGGTATCAGGTCAGCCAAGGAGAGAATGTTGTACCCAAATAGCTGTGTTTTTACTGATAGCCTGACCCTTCGCCTACTGGGGACCTGATTTCCTGGGGTGCCCAGTATGCACCAGATGAGCCTCTGGAAGTGCAACTGCCATCTGGAGCTGGGTGCTTCCTGTGGGGGGCCCTCCTGTGTGCTGTAGGATGTTCAGTCCCATCCCTGGCCACTACTCATGTGATGCCATAGCAGCCCCCTTCCCTAGTTGTGACACAATGGTGGTCTCCAGTGGTCCAGAGCAGACCTGGAATCTAGCATGCCCAGGGAGCCTGTTAGAAATACAGAGGCTTATCCTGGAGGAGCAGGGACAAGGCTGTGAGGCGTGGGGTCTTAGTGGGCTCCTTGTTGGAAGTTAACAGAACCCACCCAAAGTAACTGAAAAATATATATAGCATGTTAGAAATGGGGCCCTCACACAACGGACAGGGCTTCATCCAGCCTGGGGACCTGGGGCTGCCTCCCCCTCTTCTCTAGCTCCAGTTTTGGACCCAACCCCCTCTGTCTCCTTGGCCCCACCCTACTTTGTCTATTCCTGGACCCTTCAGTGAGAGGCAGCACAGATTCCCTGAGAAGGGGACATGTCAGGTAAGTAAATGGATTAAAGGGCAATTTCAGTGGGATGCTGTCTGGGGACAGGCTCAGAGCAGTGGGGTGGCCTCTCAGCCTGACCAAGATTACTGTCCCCTGATGATGGAATGTACCTACAGGATGTCACCTGAAGAATGGGGCAGGGGGACAAGCCCATGACCGAGGGAGGAGGCCCTGGTTGGGGAGGGCCTGGGTCCAGCCTTTCTCTACCTGCTTCTGACTCTGGCTTGAGGTTTCCTCTCCTCCCCTCTCCTTCCTCTGGTCCTACTTCCCTATAGTGATGAGGAGACAGAACTGCAGAAACATTTTGAGCTCACGAAATGAATGTAATCATTTAGATCTGAGGCATAGTAGTTCCCACGTAAACAAGATCCCACATAGGAAAGTCCAAACTTAGGAAACTGGTAAATTAGAGGTGACTACTGGTCCCACTGAAATGACTTTCCCTTAGCAAAAGTACCCCCTGCAGGGTTATTGTAAGCAGTAAGTCTCCTTTGGTGCATTCAAAATTATTCAGTTTACCCACGTTGTGCAGTTAAACTTGGAACCTATGTTTTAGAATGGGCCTTTTCCAAAGGCCACAGAGGTCTGAAGATGTGTCAGTTGGCAGTATGGGGTTATCTTGTAAGAAGTCATCCTTGGAGGTTAGTGCACTGACCTTGGCTTTTGCTGGGGGGCTCATTTCTCTGTTCAAAGAGCTGACCTCATGATTAATGCAACTCAGAAAGACACACAAGTTCTGGATGTAAGTTCTGCCTCCTCAGGCCAGAAACAAAACAAAACAAAGAAAAAACAAGGGTGAAATAAAAAGTAAGCAGAGACACCGGAATAGAGAAGGTTTACATTTATTTAGCTTCTGGTGGAAGCCACAGGATGGGAGTCAGGAATCTGTAGTTCTGGACAGTGTGTCCAGATGAATTTTTTAAATAATTCAGGGAGCTTTTGCACAAGAACCAGAAGGAGAGAAGATGGCTGATAGGCCAACTGTCCTTATTTTAAAAGATGTTAATGCTGAGACTGATCTGAAATGGCACCAGGCGTGTGTGGTGTCAGAGACTGTGGCTGATGTAAACCGTTGCAGTAACAGCATGGCACTTCCTCTGTAGCCACAGGGATATGATCTTTGGAAATAACAAATGCCAGTCTCCCCTCCTTTCAGCTGCCAAGTTTGCCCTCTGAGCATGTTGATGCAATGTCAAGAGCTCAGCACTGTATTTAGTACTAACCAAAATACCCAACCTCCCAAACTCCAACCCCTCATGCCCCTGAAAATCAGCTGTGTCTGCTGTATTTCTGTTCCAGCCCAATTCGAGCATACAAGATTCCTGAGGAGCTGAGGCCAGGAACCATTGTGGCCAATATCACAGCTGAGGACCCTGATGATAGAGGTTTTACCAGCTTCCTCCTCTACAGCATCACTACTGTCAACAGCTATTTCATGATCAATCAGTGTAAGTCACACACACACACACACACACACACACACACACACACACACACACACACACACACACACACACACACACACACACACTATGTGCATCATTTAGTTCAGCCATTTGGATTGCTTTACAAATATTTCATCTGTCTCCTGGCCTGGGTCATACCTTTCTGCCTAGAGCGTGGAAAGTTACCAGGGTAATAGGTGCATTAAAAGCAGCTGGCATAGGGGTTGGGGGAAACTGAACAGGGCCCTATGTCAACAGCTGTATCACTTCTTCACCTTTGAGGCAGGGGGTAGCTCAGGATGTGTGGGGTTCTCTATCCTGAGGGTACCCCAAAGCCTTTTGAAGAGAAAATTGATACCAGCACTGTCCAAAACAGTGTGGGAGGCCACATACATAATTTTAAAGTCTTGAGTGGCCACATTTTTAAAAAGTATAAAGAAACAGGTGAAATAGATTTTAGTAAGGCATTTCATTTAAACCAGCCTACCCTAAATATTATCATTTTCACATGTGATCACTATTTTTAAGTTATTAATGAGGTATTTTACATGATCATTTATTGCATCAAGTCTTGGAAGTTTGATGTGTATTTGATACTCTCCACAGGTCTCAGTTTGGACTAGCCACATTTCAAATGCTAAATAGCCACATTGCTAGAGGTTACTGGACTGGACTGCACCAATCTAGATGAATCTGCTGGTTTGATGGGAATTATTTTTCCCATCTATGTATCTCGCTACAGAGAAGAGGAGTTTCCGCCTCCTGTGACAGCCGTATTACTGGGGCTTAGTACCTACCGGCGCTGTGCTGAGTGATCCACACACATTCTGGCTTAAGTACTCAGCACAGCAGCCCAGTGAGCTGTCATAATCCACATTTTACAGATGAGGAAACTGAGGCTTAGAGAGAGACTCAGACAGGTCAAGCATCTTGTCCAAGGTCTCACAGCTTGTAGGCGTGAAGCAGATACAAACCAAAGCCACTGGCCCCAGAGGCTGTCCTCTTCACCACCACTGGATGTCACCCCTAAGTCTCCATCTCATCAACAGAAAGAACATCACTTTATAGAATGATTTTGGGGAGGCCAGCATTGCACTAGCCTAGAAAGGCTATGTGGTATTTACCTTGTAGGCGTTAGGGTGAAAAATATCCATTCTCAGGAAAGGCAATAACTATGTTCTATGTCTGAAAACTTCCTAGTGTCCTGTCATCAAGGACCTCAGTTTGCAGATAGTACATAGATGGACACCCATAGTTTGGAGCTCTGTTCACTCTGGTATTGCAAACTCAGCTTTTAACAAATAAAATGATTTTGGTTTTTTTTTTTTTTGAGCGTATTTACTAAGACTCTGGTTGTAAGTAACAGAAACTAAGGCAAATCAAACCAACAAAAGAAAAAAGGAGGTAGGGACACCTATCAACAGGTTACTGGGTATTTCATGAGAAAGAGTGGAATAGTCAGGGCACAGGAAGGGCAGGAGCCTGCACCACTCCAGCCACCACGGCAGCTGGAGTCCTGGCCTCTTAGCTGTGGCTCCACTATTTACCTGACTTGTGTCTCTCAGTTACAAGTTGTACAGGAAGGGAACCCAGTGTGTCAGGCTGGAGTCAGCTGTCTACCAGTCCAGTCCACCATCAGCAGGGACTGCTGCTGGAGCCCAACCCTGAATTTAGAGGAGCAAAATTCCAAAAGGGTCAGGTGAGACACTCCAGGCAATGTCCAATGCAGGAACTCAGATGCATTTTTAAAATGTGTTTGTGTAGAGGTTCTTCTCTGGGTGAGCCAGTCTTCATACCAGGATGCACCTTTCAAATTCACTCTAAGTCTCCATCTGCCTTTACTCTTCGTTGCTCTTCAGAGAGTCATATTCCAACCTTTGCCTTCTTAGTGACTGGTACCATCCAAGTGGCACGCAGGCTGGACCGAGATGCAGGTGAATTAAGACAAAACCCCACCATTTCTCTGGAAGTCCTGGTGAAGGATAGACCCTTTGGGGGTCAGGAGAATCGCGTGCAGATAACCTTCATTGTGGAAGACATTAATGACAATCCTGCCGCCTGCTCCACGTTCACCTTCAGGTATTCACATTAGGATGCACACTTTGCCCCTGTGGTGGTCCCCCACCCTTTGGCTTCTCTGGGTTATTCTCAGGAGGAACTGAAGACTTACAGGCACTTGAGACATGGCTCAATAAAATAAGTGGGTTTGAAGTGTCCAGTGTAGCTTATAGGTTTGGCTTTCATCATCCTTTTCTCTCCCCTCTCATTTTCTTTCCTCGTTGTTGTCTCCCTTCTCCACTTTCTTACTCTGTTAAAAAATATTTTCATTTTGCTCTCTTCTGTAATGTACTCATCTCCATTGGTGAAAAGTACCATGGGGACTTGTTAGATCCTCTCTGGACTGTACCTTTTCTTTATTTATTGCCACTGGTGGCAAGACGGCGCTGTTGGTTAGCAGCTATAATAGATACTTGAGACTTCGGATTAGTAACTAGGAGCTCCCAGAGAAACACACCACAGGTAATACGAATAAATCAAACCAAGTGTTTACTTAAAGCATCTAATTCACTTTACACAATTTAATTGCATGTGAACAAAAGACAACATTAAAGGGAAAAAAATGCAGATACAAGTGGGAAACAAGTTATTTTGCATATTTTGACCTGTTCTTTGTCCCCCAATCTAGACACTGTTATTTTTAAATAAAGTCCCTTGTGATTCTGGGTTAGTACGCCTTTTTGAAAATAATACTTTCAACTAACAATTTTGTTTAAATGCCACAAGATTACTAACTCCCCAGGTTATCTTTATCTCTGTGATTTCTTAATAGCTGGTTCCAGTTTCTTGAGAGTCTGGGTGTAGTTTCTCCTGGGGCAGGGAGGGCACCTGTGCCCTGACCCTGGCTGAGAGAGCGCCCTGCCTCTGGACCGAGGCTGAGCACCAGGCCACACTATCTCACTTCAGACATCCTCTGGAGAGAGTCTTCTTCTGAGTTTATCTTTGACAAGCTTTTCAAGTTCACCTTTTAAGCTCCAGGTGACTTTGGACACAGACCCAGTACATAGTATGGCCATGCAAAAGACAGAAGACCCTAGATAATTGTCTGGGATAAGCAATAGAGATAGAAATTCCTTTATGATGCTTACAAATGTCTCTCTGCTTTTCCATCTGACATGCCCAGCATTATACTAAGAATCAGTGTAGTCTTGAGTCTGATTTCAAAACAGTTAAACCTGTTCTGGACACATCCCATTTGCTCCTTCAGATTCAGCCTCCAGCCTCCCCACCTTGCTCTGGCCACAGGAGGCTAACCTGTAGGGATGTCAGTCGCTTCCCTGAAGCATCTGGTTGGTCACTGGGAAGTCATGGAATGATGGGGAGCATGAAGCAGGAGATTTATCTCCCCAGCTGCCTCCCTGTCAGCTGGATGAGGCCCTCCCTCCCCTGAAGGTCTCCATTCTCTACGGCAGCCCTCTGCACACAGCACTGTCCGTCCTGGGTTCCCATTTCAGGAACTGCTCCCTCCACTGGCTTCTCCAGGTTTAGAGGTGGTAAACCTCTCTTACTAGCTCTGAGATATTGCACGATGCCTTGAGATTTCCGTATGTCCTGTGTGCATTTGTACTGGTCCCTTTTCCAACCCCCTCCTAGAATTACCCTAATTTGACATCTGCTTCCTGGTGAGGCCCTGATTGTGTCAACAATAGCCATGACCATGTGATAAGTTCTTCTCCCAGCCCTAATTTCAGAGCCTGTTGGATGGGTGGGTACAGTTGCTATGGGTACTTAGGACCATGGCTTCCACACCATTACCTGCATAATTGAACCCACCTCTGTTGAGAGAAGTCTGGGCCCTGGGGATAGAGTGCAAATGATATGCAGAGCCACTTGTCCTTCTTTGAAAATCTAAATCTACACTAGCACTATGGGGTGGCTCCAGTGCACCCTGGGGGATCCCGCTCCCCCTGTCCTGGCCTTTGAGGCACTCCTGCTCTTCTTATCTTTCTTCCCTGAGAGGTGGGATGGGGGTTGAGGTTAAGAACTCCAGGTATCAATGACCAGAGAGGACTATGCTGTCTCCAAAGTTCCTTATCAATTTTCTCCCCTCACTGCATTTCTGCTAAGTGCATACTGTGGCTTCCTGTAGTCTGGAGTCCCCTGATATGCACGATGACAGTTTGCACACTGCATTCCATATTAGCTGAAAAAATCACATTTTCATATTCTAGACTGTCCAGGCAAGCCCATGCAGAGTCCTGCTCTTGATAATCTCTCCAAATTTTCCCTGAAGGTCAATGCCCACCAGTAACTGGACTAATTGTATTTATTATTGAAGGTAACTCTCCATGCATGGCATTAAGTCCCTCTTCTGGGCTCTTCCTGAGGGAGTAACTTGCAGCCATGCTATGAAAGCCAAGATATGAGGAGGGACTGCAGGGGACTCTTTCCTCTCCAGTCCTGGAAGTGGAGGTCTTCACCCCAAAACTCCAGGCTCATGCATGTTTTCAGGGACACCACATCACCTGCCCTCCTCCCACCTTACTCCTGTCTCCATTCCTACCTGCTCATTCCCACCAAACTGAACCGAGTAACAGAACTGGTGCTGCCAGCAGTCAGCATTCATCCGTGAATATTTTTATTCCTTCTTCAGGGCTCTTGGTGGGGTCTCTGTAGCAGAGTTGGCCTGGGGGGTGCGGGTAGAGGAGGTTGGGAGGGCGTGAGCACCCAGCAGGCGAGAGCAGCAGGTGGCTGCGTGCTGGCCCACTGCCCCCGTGGGTGGTGCGGGTTGCACAGGCTCTCAGGCGGGCCCAGAGTGGCTTTCCCAGGCTGGGGATGAATGAGCTCGGGGCCCGCGACAGCACCAGAGGTGCTGCTCTGGTTGTAAATTGTCAGGCTCTTGGCTGAAAGCGCTGCGCAAGCTGTTTGTGAGCTAGAGGCGGAGAAGGTCAGCCGCTGCAGAAGGCTGCCTGGCTGCCCGGCGGGTCAGGTTTGCACTAGGGGGAGCCGTGGTCGGATGGCGGGGAGCTGGGCAGCGTGCCGTTGAGGCAGGGACTGATGAATGAGGGGGAGTGGTTTTCCAAGTCTCACATTTAGGGGAAAAAAACCCAAGTGTCACAGAACAATGAAAAGAACAGGCTAGGTGGCCCTGAGGGGCAGAGTGTGGAGGCCTCTTCTGGAGTCCGGGAAAGTCCTGTCCTCAGAACGGGGCATTCTTTGGGTGACGCGATGCAGCTTCCAGCTTCTGCAGAGTGAGAATCAAGGCCCAGATCCCTTGTGGACCTGGAGGTTCACCGCTGGAACTGAAAGTGAAATTTCCAGTGACTAACACAGACGATAGAGAATCCTGCCCGTATGCGTCAGCGTTCTTGGACAGGTTTTGAAATCACTCTGAATCACTCTTCCTTCCCTTGTAAAATGGGGACAAGAATACAAAGTTCCTGAAGATGGAGGAGTTAGACATGGTGTTTTAGTACTTAGTACGATAGAGCATATAGTTGGGATTTAGTAAGTGGTATCCGTTCTACTTATGAATAAAACCACAACATTGTTTCATCAAGACAGGAATGGAAATGCTTGGACTCCAATCCTGCTGAAACTCATTTGCCAATGAGGCATTTCACTGGAGATTCAGTTACACCTGTCAGAAAAGCTGCTTTCTAAGAATCGAACCCAGTTATCCCCAGCAGCCCAGAGCCATCCTTGCTCTCAGAATTTGCTCCCCTTCTGCTGAGCCTAGAGCCTGTTTTAGCTGCCATGAAGAAATGATATGGGTGGAGGAGGGAGCAGAGAGAGGTGATAGTACACAGGAGTAAACAACATGTGTCAGTCTGGGTGTTCTGAGAACAAGATGCCAAGACAAGATTAAATGTGCAAGGCTTTTATCAGGGGACACGCCTGTGGGAGAGAGTGGAGAGAGGGCCAAGCCAGGCTTGGAGGGTCATCAGACCGCGATGCAAGTCTGACTGAGCAAAGGACAGAGGGAGTGAGGGTGGGTGGAAATGTTCTAACCTGCCAAGCAGTCCCTGGAAGGTTTGGCTAGGGCACTGGGGAGTCCTGGAGCCCAAGTCAGCCGTCACAGGACAGGAACAGCCTGCCTTAGTATCTCTGCCACGCCCAGTCGTTGGTGCTTGGTTTCACTGCAAACATCCCACAGCAGAGCAGGTGGGTCTGAGGTCAGTTTTGTTCCTGTGGTTGAAGGTCTTCCAGGCACAGTCACATGGCAGCCACAGTATATTTTTGTAAGCAGCTCTGCCCTGGGCAAAACGTGACTGAAGTAGGCAGCAAAAGCAAAACAAAACAAAACCCCTCAAAGCACCAGCCACAGATTCCTCTGTCTGTACCCAGGCCCCTTTGCAATGTGATTTTGCCACTTCCCCATCCAGAGATGGGTTTCTCTTTCTACTCGTTGAATGCGGACTTGACCATGTCAGTTGCCCGGCCATTGCAACACTCACACGGAGCCCGGCAGAAGGCTGAAAGGTGTGTGTGCTTTGGGACTTGCCTCTCTTGCTGGTTTTGGAGACCTGAGGTCTCCATGGGGAGAACCTGGGCTAATCTCCTAGAGGATGAGAAACATCATGAAGCAGAGACCAGTCACCTTCCCACCACCAGCCGTGTGTTAGATAGAGTCCATCCTAGACTATCCAGCCCCAGCCAAGCTGCCAGTGACTACAAACCAGCCACACCAGACCGGAATCAAAAGGGTTAATGAATAACCCTTGTATTGTAAGAAATATTAAATGCCTATTGTTTTAAGTCACTCCATTTTGGATTGGTTTATTATACAGCAAAAGCTAACTGACAAGATTTTTGTCCATTTTATAGACAGAAAAACTGACAATTAGGGACATGATAAAGTCCCTCAATGAACTGAAGCCTAGAGCTGTCAATCACTCTTCCTCAATCCACTCCAAGTCTCCCACTCCAAGCTGGGCTTAACCAGATGGCTCTGAGTTTGGGGACAGCTTTATTCATTTGTGCCATTTGCTTACATCCTGGAATCAACTGCGATAAGACCCCCCAAATCCAACCTTAAATAAGCATTTATTCAGTGAGTGACTCTAAGGTGTTAGGAGGCCCCTTTATGACATGGAAGCCATTAGAACACAAGTCAAGGAATTCCTAATTTTCAAAGCATGGGAGGTGAGGGGCGCAGGAATACAGGGATTTTCTCTAATCATATTATAAATTCTTGCAGGCAGGGGCAGAATTCATGTTTCTCTTACATTCTTCTTCACTACTGTGTTGGTGTCATAAGCTACTGTTCATTCATTCAACAGATGTTTATTGAGTGTGCCAAGAACCAAGCAGACAAAGATCCCAGCCCTTGCAGAAAGGGGAAACAGGCAATTAACAGGACAAATAAGTAAATTCTGTAGTATATTGGGAAATAGGTGCTAAGAATGAAAACTAAAGGGGGGAATGAGAGAGGGAGGCAATGGGCAGGGGTCAGTGGCATGTTAAAGAGGGCAGCCAGGATAGCCTCTGAGAAGATGACTTTTGATTGGAAATGAAAGAAAGCCAGCCACAGGGATGTCTGTGAGAAGAGCAGGCCACAGCAGGGGAAGGGCCCTGAAGCCAGAGCCTGGTGGGCGTTCAGGCTGCACCTAGAGGCCAGAGCCGCAGGGGAGGATTAGTAAGAAAGGAGTTCAGACAGGTAAGGCGAGGTGGCTGAGCACATCGTGAAGGGTCCTGTGGATCACAGGTGGGACTGAGAGTGAATGCGGAGCCATCTGGGGGTTAGGAGCAGAGGAGCGACATGACCTGACATTTTAACAGGGTCCCTCCGGCTGCCGTATTAGGAATAGTCTAAAAGGAGGTGAGGGCAGAGCAGGGGTACCAGTTAGGCGTTCCTGATATAACCATGGAGTTGTTTTAACTTGAAATTAGAGCAGAAGTGTCTAGCCCAGGGCCTGTGTTTGAAGGAGCACTCAGTCACCATTTGTTAGGGAAAATACTGAATTGTGTCTTTTTGCCAGCATTATGGTGCCTGAAAGAGCAGCCAAGGGGATGTTGCTTCTGGACCTGAACAAGTTCTGCTTTGATGATGACAGCAAAGCACCGAACAACCAATTCAACTTCACGGCGCCATCTGGAGTGGGCAGCAGCAGGTTTGCACAGGCTGCAGCTGGCTCCGGGAAAATTGTGGTCAGTTAATGGTCATTGCATCAGTGAAAGGGCATTGGGGAAGCTGATCTAACATGCATAGTGCTTTCGCTGCCCTGTAGAGAGAAATTTCCAAGGTAACTCCCTCTCTGAGCGCCTATAACTGACAAACTTAATGGGGACTCTGTTGTCCCTGTTTGCTCTTTATTATACCCAAGTTCTGGAGATCGTTTGTTATGCATAGTTGTGCCTGGGGCGCTGAGGACCGGCTTCTTTCTTGCATAGCTCAGTTTGCTCCTCTGCATTCAGGTTAGTGCCCTCTGGGCTCAAGTACTTTTGTTTATTTGAGTGCTCATTCCTGGCACAGAGAGGAATAAGGTGGGTGAAAGCCAGTGCAGGGCCACGGGAGTGCCTAAATTCAGCATTGCAGAACCACTGGATACCCAGACGAGAATGAGAAAATAAGGATGTGGAGGCAGCCGAACCCCACAGCATCTCCACAGGGGCAAAGGTACACTGGAGAGAAGGATGGGCAGGAACCGGGGTCCCAGTGAACTGTGTGGACCCTTAGCCACAGGGTTCCCACTGAGGGGTGGTGAGGACAGAGGAGAGGAAATGAAAGGGCGGAGGAAGGTGTGGGTGGTGTCTGCATTAGTGGGGCTTTACATCACAGATAAAACCTCTGGGTCAGCGGTGGAGGTCTGGGGGTAAGTAAGCCACCAGAAAGGCATGCTTTCACCCCCCTTTCTTCTCTGTCTCCCATCCCAAGCCCTTCTTCCCTCTCCAAGAATGTCTTACCAATGTTATTCTGGTGTCAACTATAAACTAATTTCTATTTAGGAAATTAATACATGTTCACTGTAGAAAATTCAGACAAGCACTCCCATTCAGTAATAACCACTATTAACATTTTGATATATTTCCTTCTTGTCTCATTCCCTATGCATAGATTTTTATGTATATGCCATACATATACACATAACTATTTGAAACGATGGGAGTATCCCTGTGCGTAGGATTCTATATAATGCCTTTTTTCAACCAACCTGAAGCCTTGAGCCAATGCTGTTGGGCAGTAGTGTTTGATGAACATCTTTAAACATAGATTCTCTCTCCTGGTAAATTCTTTCTAATAAATCCTCTAGCAGTGAGCAAAGATGTGGACATAATTTGTTAAAGCCCCTCCAATCAGCAAAGTGCTTTCCAGCAAGGTTTTTCAATAATATCTGCTAACAGTATGTGAAAATGTCTTTATCAGTTCAATGAAAAGAATTGTTTATTCTGTGTAATCTGTTATCTCTGTTTTAATCTAGTTGATTGGTGATCTAGATTATGAAAACCCAAGTAATCTAGCAGTCGGCAATATATACACGGTGATAATCCAGGTGCAGGATGTTGTGCCTCCTTACTACAAAAGCAAGTATCATTTTGATTTACTTCATGAAGCGTCTTCTTTGAGTAGCAATGACTTAACTATGCTAGGCCCCCCTCGGTATTGGGGTAGGTGTCTGTAAATTCAAAGGCAAACTTCAAAAAACCCAAACACGGGAATCCGTGCAGCCTCTTCCCGTTCCTCACCAGGCACGTTTAATCCGTCTCCAAGTCCTAAAATCTCAAGGGTCTGGTGCTGCTCTAACTTAGAACGCCTCTTCTTTCTCAGATGACTTACAACACTAAGAGTCTTTTAAGGAGATTTCTGCCTGCCTTTAGTCTTGCCCCTTTCTAATGCATCCTCCACATTTCGATTTTCAGGAAGTGCAAATGCCATCATATTACTGAAAGGAAAGGAGCGACACATAACAGCAATTCACCGGAGAGTTCCGCTTTATTAAGGAAAGGTGCTGGGTTATATAGGAAGGGGCATGAATTGATTGAGGTGTCACTTCTACGGGGCTGGTGGCTGTTGGCTAGGTGCTGGGATTGGGAGGGGGGCGAGAGGTGATTGGGCTTCAGGTGGCGCCGGCGGGAACTGAGGACCCCGAAGAGAAGCCGGAAGTTTGCCATCTTACTGGTGGGGACCCTTCATTCCCCCCTTTCTCCTCTATGGGTTTGTGGACGTTGCTTTCTCTCTG